CCCGGGGAGGATTGCGAGGGTACTTCCCGGGTTCGATCTTCCTGCGGTCCGATTTCGCTCTGCAACAGGGTCTTCCCAGTATTCCTGGTCTGTCCGTAATTAGATCCTGGTTTGCAAAATGAACTGGTAATTATTGCAGTGGTAAACATTAACGGTTACTGCTAGTATCTGAGGAATTGCTAGTACTCCTGGCGTTCATTTCTGGCACGGAGAAAGGTAAGGCAAGTAGTGGAGCAATTTCCTAAAGTTATGTAAGGATGTTTAGCTGGGACCGATACGGACCGACCACTAATAGCAAGATTCGTGCACTTCCTCTGACACCGAAGACGAGGAAGCTACTGTGGAAGCATGCGAATCGCAAAGGGATGAGTCTCTCATCGCAAAAGGAAGTAAACTGTCTTTACTATTAATAGTTGTTACTAATTATTTCGCAGCGCTTGCTATTCTGGCACCTATTAATGACCGTTGTGCGGAATCCAACGGCGATGAGCAGGGGCATGACCGCTATTCGTGCTCGCGATATGGCATTAGCCACTGTTATTGAAAACGGACGTCTGATATATGTCACCGCAAGGGAAGACGATGAAAATAGTAACTTCACTAGCTTGTGGCTTGAATTATGAATTACGAACTGTGCTGAGGTTGCGATGATTTGTCTTTGTTGCTTTTGCACATTTTGCATGTTGCAGTCAATACACACACGTATATTGTATTATACTGTTGTTGAATCGATGTTTATTCAAGAAGACATTTCACTTACACACCTATTACCTGCACTCACAGAAATCAGTTGATTTAAAAAATCTCCGACCGTTTTTAAGAGTATCAAGGTAGAGATTCGAGAACTAGAAAAGAGATATTTTAGTAATTGTAAGCGTTCCAAATGACGTTCGTGTATCTCTGAGCACATTGAACACATTCGCATACGAAATTGGTTTGGATTTCGAACCGCAACTTTTATGGATGCCATCAAACACGTTTTTCTCTAAGTAGGTGTGAAAAAGGGCCATTTCAAAGGCTATTCCCACTCCAAATAGTTCCATAAGTACGGACCCAGATTTGAACAAGGTAAATGTTTCATTAATCACTTCTGTCTGTTTCGCAAACGAACGGCGAACTGAACGGCGCGGTCAAATTGAAGGTGGAGCAGAATGCAGTCAGCTCATTTTGCTCCAGTTTTTGTCAGAATAATGAGTTTTCCTGTTTCCTTTCACTGTTATCTATTATATGTTTAGGATTATATCTATTGTACTAAAGCTCGCCTTCCCCACATGGAATCAGAATTAGTTGATCGGGCCTCTGCTCCGTCACCAGATTGATCGCGCGCGCGGTTCACAATCTGTCTCTATTTCAAAACAAATGGTACATATGGTTGTTTCATAGGACTTCTGACAGGCGGGACCCTACTGCTGGCTGTAGACACTATACATTGTCAGCGTCAAATTAGCAGCAGCAGACTACAGTGGGCCTAGAGCACGACCCAGTCGTCCAGACATGAGGCTCTGATAAACGTTAAGAATCGTGCCATACATAACGGTACCAAACCCAAACAGTTCATTTGCATTGCATGCTTCCTGGCCAACCTGGCGTCGGCAGCGCCTATTGTCCGCAATCAACAGCTAGACCCCCCACGTCGGAAGTCGTACGAAAGGAGGACGGACCATCTGCACCCCGGCATTAGCTGACACCCGGTCCGAGGTCATGAACTGGTGGCAAGGCACGCTCGCTCAGGCGCAGGCGCAGTCACTAATCACTTGCACACACTCCCGCTTCATCACCAACTAACTTGTCCTCAACCATTGCATGGACGAATATAAGTTATTCTTCCCCGTTTTCAAAGGGTTAGTAAAATGGCTTAAGCAATTTTTTAAACCGGAAATGATATGAATAGCCAATTAGTATCGATGAGGAGGCTAAATATCTGCGGTTTCTTAGCATTTTTCGGGGAAAATTTTTGCCGTTTTCGGATAGCAAAATCCATTAAAAGTTACGTTAATTAAATTATGGTCAAATATGCCAGAGATCCAAGTCCTGGGAAAATCAACCCTATCAGCATACTTTCTCAACTAGATTTCCTTTTATT